TGCGGAGCTGCTCGATTTTTCCTGAATCCCTTGTATACGTATATAAATGTTAGGTAAAATCATTTTCCCCACTCTCGCCATTAACGCGGTAATTGATAATCATTTTCAGGACCTTGACGAGTCAACTGGGTTTATTTTGAATTTTCGTTTCCGTATTAAAAAAAAAAAAAAAAAACAGAGGGAACTTCTCCACTCCATTAGGCTTGAATAAAGTATTCTCGAGTTAATAATTTCCACCGCGGATTAACTTAATCCTCCTCCTGTATCTGGTTATCGAATGGGTTTCCTAACTGGCGACGGAAATTGGCAGATTTCCGCGAGTTCGATTTAATCGATCGGCGTCTCTTCCGGTGACGTCTTGATTTCGGAAATCCGAACTTCCGGCTCAATCGAGGTCGTTTCTTCTTTATCTTCTCTCTTTCTCCTCTCCTCGAGGCGAACTGTGGGTGGAAACGATGAGAAAATCATCGGGAGAATTATTTCTTCCAAGGATTTATCTGGAGATCGATTAACCGATGGATCAGCTTTTATTCATTTTTACGTTTAACATCAGCGGACTGTTCGACATTTTTTTTTTTCCTCTTAACATTCTCTCAACGCGTCCCGGAAGGCGCGTCTTCAATTGTGCCGATAATTATCCCCGACAACTGCGGCGTGCAGGGTGCGGTAAATTTCCGCACAGGTGTTCTCCTTTCGTGGAAAACTACTCCGGAAAAATAGCCCGGTGTCCCGATTGCGCTTCCGGAAATTGGCCTCCTCCTTCCTTAATCGGAAAGGGATATCCTCCACTTGCGGAGGAAACAAGTGTTGACGAGGGTCATAAAATTCCGTGAATGATTAGCAGGTGTTGAAAAATTGTGGATTAAATAAATAAAAAAAGAAAAAGAAAGAAAAATAGAATGACGATCGCAGAAATCGTGATGTGGTCGCCTGTTTTGAAAAATCGGAGGTCCCCTCGAGGGCAGTAAAAAATTCTGGAAGAGATTCGCAGGCGTCGAAAAATTATGGATTAAGGAAGAATAATTAATAAATGTGGTGATCGCAGAAATCGCGATGTGGTCGCTGTTTTGAAAAATTAAAGGTCCCCTCGAAGGTCTCGAAACAATTGAGGGTAGGGGGAAAAAGAAAAGAAAAAAAAAATTGAGGATCGTGAAAATCGTGACTCGGGCACCGTTTTGAGAATTTGGAGGTTCTCTAGGGAGTGAGAGAGAATTCCTTTAGGGATTCGCACGTACCTCGGGGTTGTAATGGGCCTCGCAGGTGTGGCCCTAACGACTCTTAACCTGGTTTCTCTCCTCCGCTCCTCTTCGGGGAACCTCGAGTCCCGAAACGACCCAGACCTCGGACTTTCCAAGCTTCGCACCGGCCCTAGGAATTTCAAGGCGTTTCGAAAAAAGCCCCGTAAACGCGACTAAGGGCCCCGAGAAAAATGTACAGCTGGAGGTGAATAAATTTTGTCATGTATGAACCTAGTAGGCTTTTACTTATTTCCACATTTTTCGTTCAGTTTAAAGTACTTCACTTTTAATTCCCGTAAAAGGAATAATTATATGAACCATTGAAAATTTCACTTGAGTCAGCTATTCGATTTTTAAATGGGCACATTTATTTCATTTCAAGTATCTCATTTCTCTCAGGGGGAAAGGCCGACTTTACGCGGGCGGAAACGCCGGGATTTACTGTTATATAGAGTGACTCGTCGCAGCTTCGGAGAACTTCCTCGCCCGTGCTCGGAATACTCGGGGAAAAAAAAAAAAAATGAAAGAAAAAAACGGGGCGACGCGCGAATGAGAATCGAGGGAAAGCTCGAGGAGAAAAGGTAACGGAGATAAAGTATATACCATCGAAACGAAAATAATAACGATATATCCATGAAAGACGTGGACGGAAGTTTCACTCGGACGTGCGATCATGATTGAGAGGAAACGAATCCATCGAACCAAAGAAATGGATTTTCCATCTGAAGAATAATTGTTTAGCTCGGATAATGCTGTCACAATTACGAATAAGCGTCACGTCCTGTTTATTCGATTTTCGGTCGAATTAACAGCATATTTCTCTGGTTAAATGAACATTTTTTGTTTGTTCTTTTGTATCCTTTTCGTTAGTCTGAAGAAAAAAAAAATGTCAAATTCAGAAATCTGGATTTACGAAATTGGAAGTTAAGTCGTCGTGTCGGATTTCGGCGGAACTTTAGAACTTCAGGTATGTCGAACTTGTCGCTTCGGTAATTTTGGGTTGTCCTAGGGTTTCTGAAATTTCCGATTTACTTGCGAAGTATATTTTAGAGACGAGAGACCTCGCCCAATTGAAATTGCGACCACGATATCGCGAAAGGAAATATCGTCCCTGCACTCGTCGGTCGGTCGAAAGTGGAATTACAGGTGCTCGGCTTGGAATGGGTCTTCCCAGAGAACGTGTTCGGAATAACTGCGAGGGGAGAAAGAAGGAAATAAAAAAAAAAAAGGTCGCACGTGGCGGAGGAAAGCGATCACAGAAGGGAAAGCCCGTAAAAAGTGAATCTCCGCGGGGGGAAAAAGACCGTGTAAACGCAGTCGTTAAATCGGATCGCGCCGTCGATTAAGGATTCGCCTGGATATCGATCACTCGGGATCGATCACCCCGATCGTCATTTTGGCAAATCGACAACCAGAGGGGGATATTGGAGTTGAATTTCGAGAGGGAGAGTGGTCTTCCTCGTTCCAAATCGCGGGAGTATCGGGGCCGCGCATAGAGGTCACATTTCCACGCCCGGTCGAAGGAAATTGGCCCTTGGCGATTTAGCCGGCCGCGGATTATCCGCTTGCGGTGTCGCAATTGCCCCACGGACGTCGTTACCGATTGGCCGGACTCCAAACCCCATAAAGCGGATCGGGATTGACTTCTCAGGGACGATTGACGTGCCGTGGTCGAGATCGATATAGAATTCCTTTTTATTTTCCGGGAGACCTCGGGAGTCTCGAGGGCCGGCCACGAGAGGGCAGCCTGGCAGGCGCGAGAGGCCTATTTGAGGCTCGGGACGATAAGAGATATTTTCTCCCGATCGCTAATGTCGGCTCGAGAGGATGCTCTCTCGCTCCGACGCTCGCTCGAGCCTTGAAAAACGGAGAACGTCTGCCGGCGATCGATCCACCGGGTCGGCGCGAGGAAATCCCGGAGGTTGCAACAGGTTTCGCATCGGGAGACTCGTCCTTTGACGAGGAGCCCACGCCCACGCGGGGCCTTGGCGAGCGGCCTCGGCATCCCGGTGGAGTTGGGTACAGTGTGCTGCAATCTGCCGTTGCGGCCTGTTACAGTCTCCTGCAGGGTGTTGCAGCTTGCTGCAGTAGGCTACTGTGTGCCGTGGGATGCTACGTCAGGCTGCGGTGACGTGAATGCTACATTTTTTTGCAGCCTGCTACATCCTGCTACATTCTGCTGCAACGTTATGTGGAATGCTACATTCTGCTGCAACGTGATGTGACATGCTATATTCTACTACAACCCGCTACTACCCATCATTGACTAAACTACCTAGACACGACACCACGCATTTGCGGCGTACCTACGGGTCATCGCGTGCATCACACATGATTAAAGTTTAAACATAAAAGAGATCCACCTAAGCTCGTGCTAGACGGTTGAGAAGGGCAATACCTTTAAACGGATCGAGGCCTTTCCTCGGCGTTTTCGCGATTTTATTCGCGATTTCATGCTCGGGCCGCGAGCGCGATTCGCCGGGCTTATCTGAAATTCAATTGGTCGTGTCGTGTCGAGTGCTCCGAATGACCGGTCGATCGAGGCTTATCGAACGATTTCGATAAGTCGACCGACCAATAGCGAGTCGAAAGACCCGGCGGAAATATTTTCAGGCCTCTTTTTTATCTTTCTCGTCCGCGATTTTAGCTGCGAATTTTCCGAGGGAACGTTCGCGAATTGTTAAATTTTTAGGTCAGACTCGGAGGTGGTATTTTTAATTTTCGATCGACTACGAGTACTCGCGTGAGACCGCTCGTGATGTTCGTGTCTCACGGAGTAAGTTCTCTTAATGATGTTTTAGCGAGTACGGGTTGATGACTTAATGACCGCGTGATGGTTTTACTGCGAGGAGGGGAATTATTTCCTCGATTTCTCTTATATTCCGGAATTTATTAGACGGGGAAAAGACGCCGAAAAATCGGATTTAGCGAGCAGAGTGGCCGCGTATTGTTTTCGCAGTAGAGGGCCGTTTAGTGACTCCCGAGGGTGTCGGTAAAGAAGCTCGAGGGAAGGGTTGAAGTTATTTCCCGGCTGCTTCGAGGAGGCGAGGTGTTTGCGGACCACCCTTTGTTAGAGAGAGAGAGAGGTCAGGAGGAGGGTGACTTCCACCCTCCGGTCGAAGACCCGACTGACACTTGTTGGTGCCCCTGTCGGCCCGACGTAATCCGCCCGCTACTCCTCCGGGTTGATCGAACCCCTGTGCACTTTTCAAACGGAGAAATATACCCGAAGTCGTCGAACGGGGCAAAAAATATTACTTGGAACGAATCCCCTAGGTCTTTCTGCGAGGAATTAATCGAATCTAATGACTCGATTCCTTGACGAGTGCGAGATATCGAGCGATGTCGGCAAAGTGTCGAGACGCCGGCAATCGGAGGGAAAAATATTACCCGGAATGTATTTGGTAGATCTTTCTGGATTGATTTAATCGAACTCGAGCGTTCGACTCATCGACGTGCGCGATATGTCGAGCGATGGCGACGGGACTCGTTAAGTGGGAAAAATATTCCGGAAGTCGTCGCGCAGGGTGAAAAATATTACCGGAAAGCTATTCCGTGGATCTTTTTTAATGGAATTAATCGAAATCTATTGTTCGATTCATCGACTAGCGCGAGATGTCGAGCGATGACAGTCGAGCGTCGGGGCGACGATTACGAGACGGGCGTTGCGCAATGGCTGGCCAGGTGTCTCGGGTTTTGTCTTTTCCCGCGCCTTGCGACACCCACGCTCACTCAGTTGTTTTTCTTTTTTTCTGTTCGCAGACATTCCGGACATTCCCGAGAACATCAAGAATTTGCGGGCTCTGCAAGTGGCCGACTTCAGCAGTAATCCAATTCCCAGGTCGGGACTGTAACCTCCTTGCCGGCGGCTGTTATCGCCTAACCGGATTTATAGAGCTGCCACTCTAATCACATTATTCCTCATCGCGTTAGAGACGATGAGACAACTTCTTTGAGACTTTCATCACCCCCCTCAGGCTCAGTTATTTGATTCTCGATCTCTGTCGCGACCGGCGAAATTTCTCCGATTGTCACCTCGTCTTCTCCTCGTCCCTCTTCGAGCGTCACGGACTATTCAATTGACTAGAATGGCGGCTCTTCGGACACTTCTCTCGGTGATATCTCGGAATACATTCGAAACCGTGTTTCAGGCTTCCGGCAGGATTCGTACAGCTGAGAAACTTGACCGTACTCGGCCTAAATGATATGTCGCTCATGAATTTGCCGCCCGACTTTGGATGGTAAGTGACGAGTACCCATGTAAGTTAAAGAGGTTAGTTTCAACCCGGACCCGTGCAGGTTAAAGAGGTTATTTCCACCCCGTCCATCTTCCTGGTACCCGGAACTCGTGGAACGGAAAATTCCCTGTTAGTAGTAGCCTCGTTAGTCGTAGATTCACTTCTTTGAAGAGTTGCGCCGAGTTTTAATTATCCTCGTTTGTTTCTCCTGGAAATTTTAGTCTCGAGGCGCTGCAGTCGTTGGAGCTGAGGGAGAACTTGCTGAAGTCCTTGCCGGAGTCGTTGTCTCAGCTAACGAAATTGGAGCGACTGGACCTCGGCGACAACGAAATAGAGGAATTGGTAACTAGAGTTATGGTTTAATTTTAGGATTTACCCTGTCGGCCACGGATACCTTCTCCGTAAGATATCGTAGAAGGCGTTATTGTCCGTCAATGTACCTAGACCTAGTGAGCGAGCGGTCCACCCAATTGACCTTTTTAATCAGGCCATCTCGTTTCTTCATCCACGATTGGGTTTCTAATCAAAGCGTCCCGTTTGATCGCCGTTTCAGCCACCGCACATAGGGAAATTGCCGGCTCTTCAGGAACTATGGCTAGACCACAACCAGCTCCAGCACCTGCCTCCAGAAATCGGGGAGCTGAGCACCCTGGCATGCCTGGACGTATCCGAAAACCGCCTTGAAGACCTACCCGACGAGATAGGAGGCCTCGAGTCGCTGACGGACTTGCACCTCTCACAGAACGTCATCGAGAAGCTGCCGGACGGCCTCGGCGAGCTGAAGAAGCTGACCATCCTCAAGGTCGACCAAAACCGATTGTCGACGTTGAACCCCAACATCGGCAGGTAATCTCAAGGCTAGTCTTACTTTCTTTCCCCCCGTTTTTTTTTTTACGCGACTCGAGTCGTGCCTCCAGTTGGAAACAATTGGTGCACAACTCGGTCGTCAAATTATATCTCGAGTCGTTAACCCTTGCCTCGGCTGGTCCGGTAATTGAGAGACAATAAACTCCTTAAAAGCTGGTTAAACTGGAATAGCGGATCCATCGTTCCATGTCCAATGGAGCCCGGCAATGGGAGATTAGGCGTTTCCAGTCGGACCGTCCTCCTTTGCCTCGAAGACGACGTCCAGGTCGAGTCGTTGAGGAAAGTGCAGCGCGCGGAGTCGCACGTACTCGCCGAGTGAGACTCTCACCGTGGGCAGAGTCGGATCATTCCTGAACTTGAAAGAGAAACACGAGCTCGCCGCGAGTTCACTGTACTATTATGCGGCCTGCTTGGCACGCCCACTTCAGTCGCGGGGGGACGTAATCGCGTTCCTTTCGCGTACGAGGATATCGCGAAGCCACGTTTACGCTGGTTTACGCAATTCCAGGTGCGAGAATCTCCAGGAGCTCATTCTCACGGAGAACTTTCTCCTGGAGCTGCCGGTGTCCATCGGGAAGCTGCTCAATCTGAACAACCTGAACGTCGACAGGAATAGCCTGCAGTCCCTCCCCACGGAGACAGGTAAACGGGATCACCGGCTTCTTTTTCTCGTCCTGAGCCTCTTCAGGGACTCCTTTTTATTTAGGATGTAGGTGGACTAATCGCTCTACGTTACCTCCGTACAGGGAACCTGAAGAAACTGGGAGTCTTGTCGCTCAGGGACAATAAACTCCAGTACCTACCCGCGGAAGTGGGACAGTGTAGTGCTCTTCATGTACTCGATGTGTCCGGTAACAGGTACGTCATCGAGCACCCTGTTATCTTAGATTACGGCGGAGTTCAGGTGCCCTTCGATCGATCGGTGTACAGTCTGAGGACAGGCGAGAAACTCGGAGTTACGCCAAGTACATGCATATCAATTTATAGAAGTGCGAGGCCTTATAAATGAGGGATACGCGCAAACGCTCCTTGTCACCCTGGTTATTATATGAGATGGTTAACCTGGTCTGTCGGATTGGACAGGAAACATTTCTTATCACCCGATCAAGCCAGGGAATATTAAGAGAATCCGATCAAACGATGAAAAATTACCGCGCTTCGTTAATTCTCTAAGATGGGGTAATACTTTGGGTACAGAATATATACCATATGTATAGCATCTAGCGATAATAATAATGCCACCTGGTACTTAGTTATTTTTATTAAACACTCGCTTTACGCGTCGTGTCATATCTTTTAGCCTTACGCCGGGTTAATATTCCGGACAACTTGCACGTCGAATCTCACCCAGTAGATTCTTATTTTATGTACGACGGAAACGATTAAAATTATCGGTCATGTAGGTTGCAGTACCTGCCGTACTCGCTGATCAACCTGAACCTGAAGGCGGTCTGGCTGAGCGAGAACCAGGCGCAGCCGATGCTGACGTTCCAAACAGACGTAGACGAGGAAACCGGACAAGAGGTGCTCACGTGTTTCCTTCTGCCCCAACTGGAATATCATCCCGATGGGCAGCACGGTAAGTCGGGTCCCTTCCTGTTTCTCTTTCTCTCTCTCTATCTCTATCTGGCATTGCGTTACCTCGCCGATCGCCGATCGAGCCGTTTTGCTCTATGCCGACTCGAATTCTCCAGACGCTGGAAGGCTGGGCATGTTGGCAGGACTGAGAAACGTGGTCCAGACCGGGGAGATGAGGGAGCTGGAGAGCAGCGACGACGAGGGCTGGCAGGAGCGAGAAGCCTCCAGGACGCATTCCGTCAAGTTCACCGACGAGCCCTCCGAGGGGGACAAGGAGGTGAGGCTTTCAAGATGTCCCATTTAAAAGGGAGAAGCGAGGACGTTGCCGAACCTCTGCTCTACTTTCAGACGCCGTTCGTGCGGCAGAACACTCCCCATCCTAAGGAACTGAAGGCGAAGGCCCACAAGCTCTTCAGCAAAGGGAGGAACGACAGCAGGTCCGCCTCCACCGACGAGCAAGTAAGACTTCCTCCGTTTAAGAACCTGAAATCGATGCCGAAGAGGAGGAACTTCCTCTAAGTGTAACGTTTCCCCGCGAGTGATTCATTAGTGGTCACTCGGGTGGAGCGTCGATTAGCGTTCCGAGACTCGCATGTGTCCACGTACTTCATGGTGTCGTACGAATCCTGATGTAACCGTGGAATTCCGGTGACTAAGCGGCGTGGAAACGCGGAAATGCTAGTTGGCGATGATTCACCCCGCTCGGGCCGAAAATACTCGGCTCTTGTTTCTAATTAATTCCACGCCAGTAAATTATTTGTTTCCTTGACATTGGACAATGGTGCTCCTGTCTCTTCAGGATGTCTCGCAGACCTTCGGTCTGGACAAGGCGGAGAACGACGCGACCGGGAACGCGGTCGAGGCCACGCAGAACGCACAGCAGGAGCCCCCGGTCGACCCTGAGGTGGCGTCGATGACGAAAGTGCCGTCGTCGGAAAATTTACAAGACAACACACAGTCCATCAACGAGCCGGATTCGATCTCTTCTAGGCAGACGGAATCTCAGGCACCGCTGGTAAGGGGAATCTCGGTGATTCGAGCGAGGCGGGGAAAGGATCCGTATATTTTTTTTTTTGGTCCTTTTTTTAAATAGAGGCGAGACTAGGAGTCGACGGCACTCGTGGTAAGTCGGAGGTCCTGTTGCAGGATTTGGATGTCGAGGGTTCGGTGTCGGAATCAAGGGGTAGGGAGGAGGATGAGTCCGAGGGGGAGGACGTGCAAAGGCACGTCGAGTTTTCCATTTCGGAAGGGACGGATGGCGAGGGCGGGGGTGACCCTGGTCGGCCTAATCGGCTGCACCGGCGAGACACCCCCCACCATCTCAAAAACAAGCGTATTCACCCGGGAATTGACAAGGACAAAGTCGCGTCCATCATTGCACAGGTTAGCCAAAGAATCGAGTCCTGTGGCCTGAGAGCTCGAGGTGTCCCCTAAGTTTCGTCGCCGAGACGTTTCACCGCCAGGTTTCACCGCCAGGTTTCGCCGCCAAATTTCGCCGACAGGTTGTTTCGTCGTTTTTACTTGTCCGCTATCTGCGCTTCCCTCACAAAAAAAAAAAAACAATTATGGCTTGACAGAAATTGTACCGTCAGTATACTTGACGACGAAACAGGTGAATTTTCGTCAGGTATTGCGTTGGAAAAAAAAAAAAAATTATTTAGCATATTTGACGACGAAACGTCCCGTTTCGGAAGGACGTTTGGAGGAAACTGGAAGAGGGCGGTCCGGACACCTCGGCTCTCTCGTCCGCTTTCTCGAATACCAATGGGGACTAACCGTAGGTTGTTTGCAAGTCGTAGTCCTTGGATGGTTCTCTTGCTTCCCGCCTTTCCGTTGTACCGGTGGTTCACGATCTCGGTCCGATTTCTTTTGCAGCTCCACTTTCCATACCGCCTTCCCGCATTCGGAGATTAACGTTGTACGCCGTACACGCGCCTTCCTGTCGTTTATCTTTGGTGTTCCATTTGTCACTTGGAGGAGTTACCGCTTTCCGAGTGTCCCTGCGGAACACGGATCGATGTTTTGTGGAAATGTTTGTTTAATATCTAGACCTTATAGTTAATTTCTACCTGGCATGTCATTTCATTTCGCTGTTGTCGCCTTAAGTAGATCATCGCTATAAAGGGTACGATAAAGGTCGTCGTCTACCTAAGGACGATTCGCAGGGAAAACAGTGGTGACTTCGTCTAGATTTTGACATCCGCACTAATCACGTTACCCCGCTTCGCTGTGTCCTTGTTAATGGTGTAGCTACGGGTTTTCTTTTGTTCTTTCCGTTGGACTAATTCGTCGCCGTGTCTCCGTAGCTGAAGCATTATTAATATCTAGTCGAGGCGTTATCAAGTTCCCCAAGAGACGGAGAACCGAGCACGCCGTGGAGGTGTAACAGTCCTTCGAGAGTTGGTTTTCTATTTTTATATATTTTTTTTTAAACGTCTTATGTGGTTTGGTATTTTTCTTGTCCGTCTCTGTACTTCGGACTGATATTTTTCTTACGTCAAAATGTCGAATTTGCTTTCCTAGGCACTGACCAAGAGGAGCGACGAGGTTCCTGCACCCCTTTCTGCCCCCACGGAATCTGCGGAGGATTTGCATAGTCAAGGTAAATTCATTTATGTACACAACTTTGTATGTATAAACGTAGATTTAAATCTGTATCAGCTTACCTGTAATCACGCGGATTACCCGGACGAATTATTCCCATGGCCACCTTCGACGTCATTTTTAGGGAATTTTGAGTCATGTAAGATGCAAGCGCGATCCGCTCTAATGGAATAATCGACGGAACGATAAGATACCCTGGGAACATTCTGTACGCCTGGCCAGTGTATGATAAGATATCGCCACGTTAGGCCGTATGCTTATCTCCACTTTATATAGTTCTGCCTTCGATATGTACCTGCACGATCTGCGTCGATTTACGAACGCACCGTGAGAATGCGAAGTGCCAAACTGTAATCGCTTAACGAGCTACCTCGCAGTATTTATTTCCTATCCGTGGATCTAATTAGAGAAGATGCCGAAGAAATATCGTTGCTTCGTTAGGGTCAAACAGCGGAGAGGTAATTCCCTGCGTAGATAACGTTACCTCTTGAATGCCACGTAGTAATAAAAATTGATAAATAAATAAAATACACCGGTAGATAAATAAGATACACTGAATTATACTAAATTGCCGTTTCAGGGGCGATTTCTGACGCCGAGCCAACGCTGGAAGTTAGAGAAGAGCAGTACGAGATTCACATAGAAAGAACCACCGGTGGACTCGGATTGTCAATAGCTGGTGGCATCGGCTCGACGCCATTCAAAGGGGACGACGAAGGTATTTTTATTTCCCGAGTGACCGAAGGTAAGTCCTTGTTCCCCACTTGCAGTGGTCACTACTCGTTGAGACATTTAAAAGTAGATGAAGATATTTATTGGTGGTGTAATTTAATTCGTGAATATCAATGGACATGTCTCAGGCGGTCCAGCCGACCTGGCTGGCCTCAGGGTAGGCGACAAGGTGATCTCGGTGAACGGGGTCTCGGTGGTAAACGTGGATCATTACGACGCAGTCGAGGTATTGAAAGCGTGCGGACGTGTCCTCGTGCTCGTAGTCGTCAGGGAGGTCACGAGAATAGTGCCGCCACCGGAACAGGTAGAGATTTCACATTTTCCTAATTATCCTTGTGCCGAACCTCGTTAAACGGTGGATTATTCCAGCTGTCAGCGAGGAAAGACTCGGTGTGCTCCAGTCTGAGCACAAGTCGAGCCGCGAGTGCGACCTCCTACGTCTCGTCGACGGCCCTTTCCCATACCTTGGAGAATGGTGAGTCCTGTACGACGCACGACACCATGAAGGTAAGTGGTCCGTCCCAAAGCCTATTAGGTTGAGGTATGAGTACCCGCCGTTTTAATTACGTTCTTAACGTATATTCAGATGCAATGGAAAAATAAAATGTACAATTTGAATAGGCAAAGAAGTCCATAGAACCGATTCCAGCGGCGAGATCAAGCGGGGAGCCGATGGTCCCTGTTCTCGTGCACACCACCTTGATTCGAGATCAGAACGGACTGGGCTTCAGCATCGCCGGGGGGAAGAGCTCTCCTCCATTTAAGGACAACACCGACGTAAGGCCCTGCTCTAGATTTATCCTAGATTTTTTTAAGCGCGAACCATGACGGATGTTGTGTCTTTCAGGCTGTATTCATCTCGAGAATAACGGACGGTGGAGTGGCGCAGAAGGACGGCAAGCTGATGATCGGGGACAAGGTGGTGTCTGTACGTGGAATGACTTCCTTTTATAAGTAAATAGTGAAGGTTTGTTTGGAATGGATCCTGGAAGCGATTAATCTATGAATTTTAGATAAATGGCGTGGAGATGTCGGGGGCAAAGCACGAACAGGCAGTGTCGATGCTGACGGGCCTGGAGAGGTTTGTTCGCCTTGTGGTGGAGCGCGAGGTGCCCCTTTCTCAGGCGAACCCGGCGACTGCGGCGACACCCTCGGAGAAGTCCCCTAGGGTCATCGGGGCCCCTAGGCCCTACACAGGCTTGTACAACGCGAACAGCTATATGGCCAACAGGCCCTCGGCCTATGCAGGGTATCGACGTTCCGTCGATCTCGAGAAACTGGCTCCGTCGCCCAGCCCGGTCACCTCGGACACGCCTCCACCGGATCCCTTGAAGACGGAGGCTGCGAACGGCCTGCCGAAGATGAATGGGGTCGGAGAGGTTCCCAACGTCCCCTCGAAGACGTCTCCTCCGGTCACTCCAACGATCCATTCTCAGACTCGGTTGAAGATGCAACCTCAGCCCGCTCCTCGTCAAAGCGTCGCGCAACCTGGGGGACAGGGGGCTCCGGATAGTCCCGCTGGACCCCTTCCCGCCTCTCCCACGGGGTCTGACACCCAAAGGCCCGTCTCTCCTCAGGATGACGTTCAGGCTCCCGGGCCCATCACCAATGAGGAATTTCAGGCCATGATCCCTGCCCATTTCCGCCGAGCTCCCGCCTCCTCGCCCTCCCCGGAGGCCCATCAGGGTCCTACGGTCACTGTCACTATTAAGCAACCTGATCTTATCCCTGGGGATGTTTGTCTACCTCCGGCGCCGACCGCTCTCGGCAAAGTTACGGAGACCATCACTAAGAGCACCCTTACCGAGACCGTCGTCACCCGGGTGACCGATAATCACCTCGTCGAGCCCGTCATCATCGAGGTGGGTGACTCTTGCAGCGATAGTGCTTATTGTTGTCAGGTTGGAGTTGATGTTTCATATCATTTTCATATAATCTTTTAATTTATCCATCACCTTTCAGGACGTCGTGCTCATCAAGGAAGGCTCTCTAGGCTTTAGTATCATCGGCGGGACCGATCATTCCTGCACGCCTTTCGGCGCAAAGGAACCTGGAATATTTATATCTCACGTGAGTATTGCTCAGTGTTTTTTTGGAATCTGTAGACATTGTTGCTTGACACTTAAGGGACGAAATTTCTCATTTTAACGCGATCCTTCAAGGTTGTACCTGGTGGCATTGCGGCCAAATCCGGAAAGCTACGAATGGGAGACAGAATTCTCAAAGTGAACGGCACCGACGTGACTAAAGCTACCCATCAGGAAGCCGTCATGGAGCTGCTTCGTCCTGGGGACTCTATCGTCTTGACCGTCCAACACGATCCACTTCCTGAGAGCTATCAGGTAATTCTTGTAATTTCTTTGATGATTCATTAATCTCAGGTGACGGCGCTTATCACAGTGTACTTATGACAGTACCATGTGCTGATCGACACTCTACGTAGATGCAACGATTTACCATCCTGGTCTAGTTGGAGTCCGGAAATTTAATATTTACAAGACGGTAGTTGATTCGTTACGTATTTCCGGCGGTGCGATAATTCACGGGTCATAGGGAAATGCATTTGTCAATTGATTTACCGCTTCCAACTGGCACTGCCTCACCTTTCGCCTAAGATCTCATGCGCTTAATCCCTCACATTAGGCACCAGGGAGTCCGTAGTGCATTTTACTTCTCTCGCAATCGTGTCTATTGTCGCCATCGCGTTACTAGATGCCTCTGCGTACCCCAAACTGATTAGCATTCACTCCGAACGTGACTCGATATCATTTCTTTCGCAAGCTGGTCGAAATAGAGTACATCCCCGTTACGGTAAGTACTCAAGCATTCGGCTTTCGCATCGTTTTCACCCTGGTTTTGCTTTCGCTTTCATACACATTGTCCATCAGCACCGCGAGTCACTACTTTCTCCTTCCTTGGATTATTCTCTATAAGAGTTGTCTCTACACTTTTACCGCTTTCTATGCTTCCCGCGATTTTATTCAGTTCGATGGTCGCCTAAACGCCTGGGTAGAAAACCGTGAAGATTCATGAAACTCGGAGAGGGTTTTATTAAATACCTGAAGAGCCGGCAGGAAGTCTGGATTTGATGAAAACTGCCCTTTTATTTTTTAACAAGAGTGTGATGAAAAATTATCACTGCGGCCTGTTTTTAATTATGCATCTCTCCGCAGGAACTGGTGATAATTAAGGAGCCAGGTGAGAAACTAGGCATGCACATTAAAGGTGGACTGAGAGGACAGCGAGGGAATCCTCTCGATCATAGCGACGAAGGTGTCTTTATCTCGAAGATAAACTCCGATGGTGCTGCGAAAAGGGACGGAAGGTTAAAGGCAAGTCGGAGGATTTATACGGTGGGTCGCTCCTTTTGATAGCTCACTGATAACTCATTAATAAATAGGCTGGCATGAGGTTGCTGGAAGTCAACGGGACGTCGTTGCTGGGAGCTACTCATCAGGAGGCCGTGAACATTCTGAGGTGCTCGGGGAACATCATCAAGCTGGTGGTCTGCAAGGGGTACGACAGGGGCGAGGTCGAGCAGGTGTTGACGATGACAGGTGGCAGGGATTCGAAGGAGTCCAAGGTGTCCAGGGATGACAAGGAGGGACCTCCCGATGGCATAAAGTCCTTATCGCAAAGTGTGTCCAGCCTGGACCGGGATGACGAGGAGGCTGCCACTCTCAGACAGGAGCAGGAGATGAAGGCCGAGCTGGTAGCCTGGGAACAAGAAGAGCGAGAACGCGCCCTTGTCGAACAACGCGAAAAATCGACCCCCGAGAAGGTACAACTTGTTGAAAATTTATGCACATGCTCTTAAGAGGATATGAAAGAGTCAGCTTGTATATAGATCTGAGAAGTCAAATCGTTGGGGAAAGTATTCTCCGAATTGGGTGTACCGATTCGTTTCAAATTTTACCACGTGAATATGGAGGCCCTAATGTAGATCCTGAGATTCATGAATTTCATTTTTCATCCAAAATTTATTTACTTATCATGGACTAGAATCTACATGGCGTGGTCCGTGCACGTTTTCGATGTTTTACGCTTCTTGGAGGCTTAGAATAAAAAATGTAGAGATTCAGGACCTAGCTCGAACAATTTAGAATACCGTAGAGATGGAATATTACAGTGTCAGATGTGGTAAATACTTTCACGAATAATTGCAAGAGAATACTGGCTACTCCTACTAACACATGTTTTTATAGAAAAAATTTAGTTGCAGCTAGAAAATTATTCCGATTTTTAACGCGAAGATCTAATGCGGTTTCTTCTCAGATAAAATTTAATTTCCTTCGTGCTATAAACCACGTTGAAGAATTCAACTCTACATTTTTATGACAATGTTTTTTTTTTTCAATGTTAATCTCGGTTTTATTTAGAGTTTAAAGGTAGGAGTGCAAAGCGTCAGATTGTCAGTAACTGAAAACCGCTTTCTGGGCAGTATAGTTTTTTTTTTAAATAATTTGTAATCATTAATTATCACGTCGAATACCAGGTGCTCGATGTAGTGCGAGCTGCCGAGTCGTTGGTGAACAAGTCGAACAGCCCCGTGGACATGTACGTGCCTCCAAAGTCCCCAGGAGGCACGAAAGACGTGAAGACGACGACGATCGTCATGAGCAAACACACGCTGGCGCCCCAAAACCCGACAGTGAGTACGCCAATCGGTGCAAAGACCTTTCTTTATTAGTCTTATCTTCTCTAAAAATGCACGCGACCTTTTGCATGTCCCGTGCATGCTTCCCGTAGATGGCAAGTTACTATTTAATTATCCCCGGAGCTTTCATCGTTGCAAGAGATGCGAGTTCCCCTTACTTTTGGCGAGCTGCCTTCTGGAAAGTCGGCGTTAAAGTGAGACCAACGCCCTCTATGACTTGGTAAATGGAGTAAAAGAAATAACCCTCGTTAGATAAAGGCGAACTCGAAGGTACAAACGAGAACAAAAAAAAGAAACTGGCGCATGAAATGTTCACGTCGTATACGTAACTCCAAGCTCGATACGTGTACACTGTTTTCCATGTTTATTTCCAGCACGTTTTCGTCTTGACAGACTACGTTTTGAACATGTTGACATGTACATAGCTCGATACGGCCCCAAGCTTTCGTACTCTGTGTCGCAAGTGAACCAGCAGTCGAGAGGATACGTACATCTGCATAAGCCAAGAGTCCGTGTCAGTGCATAGGCATGTCGATAATGCAGAGGTCTGCATCGCAACCTGCAAGAAAAAGTCACGTCACGTAGTGAGAAGGCACGACCCGTTGTAAATCGATCTAGAAAACTGTCACAAGGCAAGCGCTTGGTTATTTAGAAAATTCAAAGATAAGCAATCGGGATTTCTTTTTTTTTTTTTAAACCGGCAATTTCTCTGCCTTTTTAAAAGAGATCCTGATTCCTGTCGACACCGGTGATAATCGTAGCCGCCGTTCGTGCATTTTATGCGACTCTCTTCCTGACCCTGAAGAACACCCTGCACGGAACAATATCCATATGCATAACATAGTCGTCGTTGTTATTCCGTAAACGTGTTTCTATCGTTAATCGGATTTGCAATGCTCGTCCAAAGGATTTTTCACGGATGTTGAACGTCTCTTTCTTCGAGGCCGCTGCTCCGTGCATATTTTTTGTTGGGGAATAAGTTTACCTCGTTTTCAATGACGCAGTTAGGAACAGTGGGAACTTATTCCTCAACCTAAGACATTGTTACACCGTTGCCTGCTTTCTTCAAGTCGTTCTTCATCCCTAGATAGAGCAACCTGTACATATGTCGGCGATTATCGAGCCGACCTTGCGATGTCGGTAATACCCACGTAACGACACGACACACGCACCGGTTTTCTGATTTCTAAATGGCGCATGGAAACCGTACTGGCCTCGATGTCTTGTAGTGTCGCATCCTGACGGAAAGGTACACCTAGAGGGCCTTTGGCGTGATTCCAGACGACGGAAGCCGACGGCGCCACCCTGGCCGCCCTCTAGCAGGAGTGAGCCCCAGGTCCCTCCTCTCGTTTTCCCTGGTGCCGTGCTTCTGCGAACCCACGACCGGATTTCCGCGTTTCGCCGGACGTCGTCCGGTCGGGAGGAACTAGAGGGCCCAGAAGGGACCGTCACCTGGCGATGGCACCGACTACTTACTGCCGCACTGCCATTATGCCATTAGGCTCTTAGGAGTCGAGGAGAATCCTCGATGGGCCTGGACCAGAGATGACGGTGCACGGATGCAGCGCAAATGAAAAATACCTGGCTCAAAAATCAAACGGCTGCGTGGCATGCAGGATTTGTTTTTTTATAAATCATTTACCCTTAAGGCGATGTGAAAGCTGCGTGAAGAGGTCCCGTATATGAAATTTTTCTCCCAATCGGGTGTACCAAATCGTTTGAAACTTTACAACGCGAATGTGGAAGCTATAAAGAAAGTCCTGAGACCTATAAATTTTCAATTTTTTTTTTAATTTGTTTATAGATGTTTTCAACATTTTTGTAAAAAAATGAAATTTCATAAGTTTCAAGACCTACCTTGAGGCCTCCACATTCACGTTGTAATGTTTTAACCGATTCGGTACACCCAGTTCGAAGAAAAGTTTCACGAACGACCTCTTTGACGCCACTTGTATGTCACCTTATGAGTCCTGCAAAGCCGGGTCGGCCATATTGAATTTTGACGTCAAAGGAAATCACGCTAATGGATTTGTCAATGGTTCAGCCTTGTGAAAACTGCCGCAGGCGGCATGCAAGGATAAACGTACCATTCTTCAAGGATTCATTGATTATCTCTGCAGATACGACTCTACATTCTTTTTTCTGTTAAAAAATAGTTAAAAGATATAATATACGTACTTACCGCGGTAACTGTCTCGTATACTCGTCATCCCTGGACTGGACCCTTCCTCCAGAAACTGACATCGAGACGACGTCTTGTAATCGCTTTTCTGTACATATTACCTGTGGATTTAATGAATTAATCAATCGTCGGTCGTGAAAGGGAAATGTTCTGTGATAGGCTGGCACAGTGTCGAAGCGACATGGGGCTCCTAAGAAGTGTGGATAATTTTGGAGAAAGAAATCCTCGTTAATAATTTCTAATCAATGGTGTAATTACCATGGATGACGTTTCTGTCAGCTGGTGTTATTTCCAGCCGTTTTACTATGAAATAATTATAATTATTCAGGGCAAACGGGGACTCGAGTCGAGTCGTCTCCGAAGGAGCCCCTCATCGTTCGTTCTACCTATCGATATAGTCTATTTTGCAGAAAACGAGCCGGCTTTGATTTGCGGCGAAGCCGCAGACCCAGCTCTCCTCCAAGAGTTCCGATTTGTCGATCGAAAGCCTCAAAGGCGATCGGTATCGGTGACAAATCAGTAGCTAGCCTAGGAATATATTCGTGGACGCGTCTCTTCGCTCCAAGGGACGCCTCCACCTGGATCTCCTTACGGAAGAACCAAACCCGCCATCTTGTTCGAATTAATTTATAGTAATTTCCCAACCTTCCAGGAAATTAGACGAGCGAGAATGGGGTTGAATAAGTATATTTTCTCACAGCTCCAAGTTTCATTATAGTATTCAATTCTCAGTCGGCGTTTATCCATGAATTCCAAGATGGCGACTCGGTCCTCGGCATGGGAGCCCGCGCGTTTTCATTCCCATTTTGACCATGTCGGGGGAGAAATTCATTCGGAATTAATTGGAAATTAATTCGAAATCGATTCTACGGACGGTACAGTTAACTGTTCACGACTAAACGCACATCCCATCGCATTTAAATATCGCACCTCAAAGGTGATCCTCCGTTTCTTCGGGCATACGACGACGAACAATGCCGGGGGTCTCCTAGTTGCATAAACGTTAAATGGTCTGAATGTTGCGAAACGATATAACGTTGTTGCTCCCGTTATGTTTGTTCAAAGGCATTACAGGGGGGGGAATGATTACATCGAGTTGAGTTTTCCATAAATTGCTGCAATCACGAGTGGCATTGAATTTCTCCAGATAATTATTTACAGCGCGCGTCGACAGTCCGGTCGAGGCGGAGGAAAAAAATTATTAAAAAAAGAAAAATCCTCTCGGCTATCGGTCGATTGTCGCACGTTGGGTAGATGTTAAATGTCGGAAATGAGAGGGCATTCAGTTCGGAGTTAAAGTTTACGAGGGCTCTATCACGCGTTCGCCGTTATACATAAACCCATATCACTAATAAAGGTGTAAGAAAGAAAGAAAGAAAAGAAAGGAATAAAAAAAAATAAGTCAGTGTATCTGTATCGACTGTATATCTACAAATTTTCTATAAATGTTACATGTTGACATAACTCTTATGGACCAGATGTTTATATATTATTACGGAATACCTGAGATATATGATAATATTTATCTAATGCTAATATTGAAACGATGTTGACATTGAAGTTCCAGTTTGACCGGTGCGGCGATAAGGGTCGTACGGTGTTTTTAATATTTTTTATCGGTACACGGGATATATGCCTCTTGCAAGTGCGATTGCGCCCCGGTTATCGTGAAACGATAACGGATCATTTTCCGAGCGTGAATCGGTATTGCTCCGATTTTATAATTTTTTTTTTTTTCAGAAATATTCCTCTGGCGACGTTTCTATTCTTATTCGTTAGACGGGTTTAAGGTCCTTCCTCGGTAAACAAGGACTTACCTAGGAATCCCGCAATCGTCCTCGTCAAAGATATTCCTAAGTGTGTTATCATTTAAACTCGTTTCAAATAGGGTACAAATGTCGAACGACTCGGATTTACGCGCTTAGGATAAGCAGGACACGTATACGGATTTTTGTTGTGCGTGTGTTGCAATAATATGGGAAGAGCCAGTGTACCAAGATACGACATGAATATTTCGAGCGTTAAACAAATCGAACATCCTGATATATATATAATATACACATATTATATATATAATATACATATAATACGAGGTCAAAGATGAATTCTCTCTAATTCCAACATAGGTTTTGTATGAAATGTAGCATTGGAAATAAATTTGATTTTAAATTAAATTCATGCCCTTTCAGGGGCGTTGTTGAAGAGGCTATAGCTAAACATTTGGCTGCCGGTCGTTGACTTTTCAGATCAGTTCTTGCAGGACTGCATCCTATGCCAAGTGATTTGGAATTAAAAAAAAAAAAAAAAAGAAACGAGTACATTATAGTCTACAAATAGTGTTAAAAAATATTTATATGCACATAGTCGCTGTAATGATGATTACGTGGACAGGGTTGGAAAGCAACAATGATTTGACGCGAAATGCCAGTTTTTGTGTGATTTTCTACTAATGTCCTGCACGAGGAGCTTGGCTCGGATGAAGTCCTCCAATCCCTCCTTCGACTAATTCTACGACTTCGACTAATCTTTCATTCTGATTTATCCAGCCAGTAAGCAAAGAGGATTCAGGGACATCCGTCGACAGTCCCACGTCGACGAGTTCTCCGATCTCCATCCTGTCGCCACTGTCCTCCATGACGACGTCCTTAAACAATTCTTCGTCCTTAACGAGCCCGACCTCACAGACCCTTCCCTCGCCCTCGAGGAAGACCTCGACCCCGAAACGGAGCATAACCTTCGCCGCCTTGCCAACCTCCCCGAGAACGACCTCGATAGGAGGGTCCCTGTCGACCTCCGACCTCCTAAAATCCACCCCGAGACAAAGACCCTACTCCGTGCACGATAAGCCCCTGAAGAGTCCCTCTTATCAGAGCCTCCTGACCGGAGGTCAGTCTCGTTTTCGGCTTCCTCCCACGCCCCTGACCAGTCCTGGCCTGGGAAACCTTGCTGGGAAAACCGGCCTCACGAGTTCCCTAAAAAACCGACAGATTGCACGCTCTGTTGCCGATAACACCCTGGTCGAGGTGGGTCTAATTAACACGTAACGAGACTAACTCTGTAGGTGGAGTCGGTACTTTTGAGCCTTCCTCGTTTCTTTTAACTCGTTCTCTAGAATACCTACTTTGTTGGTGGCAATCATCAGGCTGAGGGATAATTCGATTAATCCGTGAATTAATTGCACAGCCTTCGCCGAGTCCATCGCCGACCCCTGGCCCCGTGAAGATGACGGTCAGCGATAGGAAGAGGCTCTTCGAGAACGCAATGGAGGAGCACCTGAAGCCGTCGCCTAAGCCGGAGAAGGTTTTCAGTTTCCTAAGTCAAGACGAGGTGGAGAAGATGAAGCAGGAAGAGGGTATGGATTCTTGAGGAGTTTGGGTACGGGGTGCTTGACGATACTCATCGAGGATCTAATTTTAGAGAAGAAAATCGCCACCCTGACGAGAGACGAGCTGAAATCCTGGGCCCAGATCGATGAGAACGAGGGACTGGAAGAGGCCGAGGATGCCCTGGAAGATCAGGACAGCAGACGGCCTAAGTAAGATACAATGTGGTGCCTCTTCGTGGTGGAGCGATATGCGATTGCGTCCTCTAGCTTTGGCAACCTTCGGTTTCACCCCCTTGTCTTGGTTCCACCTATTTAGGGATCCCTGTTTTTATTTTTATATCTCTTTTCACCTGACAAAGAGGACGTTCGATGGAACCCTTGAATCTCTGGGCAAAGTGCAGTTGATGAATGCTGATGAGGGATTTTAAAGAGACCCTCGAGCGTTCCTTCGACGTATTTCTTGCTGTAACACCTTTTTTAGTAGTCATGCACTGTTAGTGTACGAGTTACAAGCACGAACGGTGGGATTTTGGAGTGGCGCCTTCGTTTTTTGCTGTCTAATTTTGCCAAATCTCGAGAGAACGGCCAAAAGTCGTAGTCAATATCGGCATGCCTGCTTTTATGTTAAGGACTAACCGTCACTTAGTCCCCGTGTACACCTTTACCTCATCTTCTCCGTGTAAATATGTACCTACGCATCTGTATTATATACCTTTCGTCCGTAGACAATGGAAGTATTAACCAACGTATTTAAGTAGTCGACATTTAGACACGCAACGAGAAGTATTTCCGAAGGCATTTAATTTATCACGCGTCTCGATAGACTTCACCGCCTTGAGAGAGCAAAGTCGGAGGGTCTATCCTGTACAACCGGACATTTTTTGTATATCTTTGTCTCGGCGGTATCTATAAATATAGCATATTTATTTACTGCTTGTAACGTTACGATTAGGAGATACTACTGCACGGTTTACGATGCAACGTGGAATTTTATATATATATACAAATAGTTTTAATAACTATACAGCGACATGTATTGTAAAAAGTGGTATTTGGTCTCAGCTCCGGTCGGCATTGAAACAGAGTTAAAACTATTATGTCATTCTCGAAGTACAACCTGAAGGTATTTAATTCTACTGTTAAGGGTTCGGTAACTCTAAGTCAGCTAAGGTTAGAAAAGTCCCCAGTCGGTGTCATTGGGATAAGGTAGTATTAATTAGGAATTTCATGTATCTTTTCCTTATATACTTTTCTATTAAACATCGCCGTTGTTTAACCACATGTCCAATCTGCACATTCACCTTCCAGAAAGCGATAGGTTTAACTTGCTTCGGTTTCACCAGTGGCAAAGAGTTCAAAAGTCTCCATAGAAGCCCGGAAGGATAGGGAGTTCGATGCTCGATAAATAGTACGTTAGCCAACGGATGGCGGCGCTGTAATCATTTCTCCTTCTCTGTTAATCTCACTGCCAAATATACTGGATTGCATTCTTTCTTTATCTTACACACAGTATATCCGTATTTCTATCTTCTTTTACCTCAACTTGTGGTTTTTTTATCCAACTTTTAGAGCATCAAGTGCTACATAGGATCCAGACTTCTCTGGAACTTCCGAATTCTTTGTCTGTAGATATCAGTAGTTTCCTTACATTTCACGTCGACAGGTGGCAGTACGAGTGACGTCCTATATTAGCTAATCCCCGGCCCTGTAACACCTAGTTGCTTTCTGTTTGTTTTCACGATAAGAACAAAAGTTAGATAGACGATTTGCCGGGTGATCGGTCAGTTTGCATGCTCGTTACCTTGCAGCAGTCGGCTGAGTTCGCACCACCTCCTGCAGAACATTCCTGGAGTGGTGAGGACGGCAAAGGCGGAGCGACGCCTAAAGGAACGTCTGATCCAGAAGGTACGATACTTATAAAACAAAAAATAACAGATGATAAAAAGAAACTCATAACGTGTCCACTTCACCTGCAGGGTCTGATCTCCGACGAAGACGAAGAGAGCCACCTGACGCCGGCAGAGCAGAGAGCCCTGAGGGCGGAAAAGAGGGCAGCATGGCGACAAGCCCGGTTAAAATCTCTGGAACAGGTACATTTACCGATCACCAATCCACGCAATCTTAACATGACCTCGTCCAGACTCTAATTTATCAACACTTCCTCTGTACCGAAGGACGCGCTGCAGGCGCAAATCGTCATAAAGAAAATGAGCGAGATGATGGACACCTCCGGCAAAACGGAGTCAGGAAAGGACGCAGTGGACGCCGAAGCTTCCCCAGAGCCGGAGAAAATTGCGGAGGTAAAGACGAAGTAACGAGAGAAAATTTAAGAAATAACGAGCGGCTCCCGTTAACCCAAGTACGGATATTAACCCAGAGAACGGTGACGCCGGCGAAGTAATTGTACGTCTTAACCAGATCGTTTACTAATAGCTCGTGAGCAAGTTACCCAGTAACTCAGTAATGAGTGACAACCGACTGCCGTTATCATGGTCTCCCGTACAGGTCTGTAAACTGTGGAACTCGATCTTGGGAGTGGAGAACAGTTCCTTCAGTTAGTATCACTCCCGTATAGTTAAGGACGCCACCACCGCGGGCGGCGGCGCTGCGGTCGAGCTCTCGCCTCGCCGTGGAGAATATTCCCGGAAAATGCCGCAAAGGAGTCGTTTTTTCCTCCGAAAATCGACTAGAGTTGACAGACCCGTGCCCCAAAAGTGGTCGCTGATACCTCGTGGTAACTGACCCGTGTCTCTCTCTCTTTCTCTCTCTCTTCCTATGAATAGTTCGCGAAGTTACGGCCATCTAGCGCGGATTTCCCTAAACTTGCCGTGCGCAGCAAGGTGGGTCCCCCTAAAGCGGTCCGCGAATCCGAGAAAGTCGTCGACGAGAAGGTGACTCGACGCACCGAAGAGTACGTCGACGAGGTCACGGGCGAGCGTCGTGTACGAACGGTCGAGTACGTCGAGAAGCTGATCGAACGCGAGGTACCTGACCATTCTCACTCCTGCAAGCGTCGCGTGCTCTCTCTGCGTGTCACATGCGTGCACCTACTTTGTACATACTTGAAACTACATTTCGAGGTAGTCGAAGAGTATCGCTCCCCACTGTAATCGCTTCCGATAACACTGGAGGGAAGGAAGCGATTACTTGCACATGGGTAGAGGTGGCTACACGCGAAATGTTGTAATAAGTCGTTACGATAAATCGTTACGGTAAATCGGTGCAGACTCGACCAACGCTAAAAAAAAAAACTCGATTCAAGTGCCTAAATTGCCAGTCGCTACAATTTATCGCGGGAATACCGATAAATCGTCGCGTTAAATCTGTGCAAACTGATCTGCACAGATATAACCTGTAGCCGCCTGGAAACGATGCTCTTCGACTTTTGGACTACACGGAGAATTTTCGTGTGCACGCATTTGCTTTATGAGTATTAGTCGCTGCAATTATTAGCTGTAAACGGGGGTGATTTAATTATTTTTTGAAAAGACGAAAGGCAAGAGTCCGAAGAGGCATTGCAAAGAGTCTGTTATGGTTGTGTAAAAGAGATTGATCGCTTTTCAACTCCCGGAGATCCGAGTGACTATTGACAACGGCCAGGCAGAGTTGTGATGGAATTTGTTGTTTGTACCCTGGAATGTTAATTAACACGGGTCTTGCATGGGTGGTGTGCATGAATACTGATTAACTACCGATGGTAGCTAATAATCGTTATTGTTCTTCCAAGATCCCGACACCTGGAATGCAACCCACACTGCCTTGAGACACTATTTCCGCTTCCACTGATCACTGACAATCTCTTCTTACTTTGGTATGCTCATAACTCTATCTTCTGTGGTAAACTTTCGGATTTTGTCTGAACGTTCGTGCTCGTCGACACGATTCGCTCCGATTTTCTGGCCTGAGAAGAGTTCCCTGCACTCGTTGATGCGGTATCTTTGATTTTTTTTCTTCGTGTTTTGAGGTGAGGTCGGCCATCTTTGATTGCGGCGTCGAGGTAAGGAAATCACGAAAAATTCCCAGCCGGGATTTTGCGAAGCGAAAGGCACTTATCAGTGAACATTAGGACACGGAGGATTCTGGGGATTCAGGAAAGGGTCAGTTGGTCGGTTGACGGCGGCAATTGCACCTGAAAATGGGAAAATACGGTGGAATACCGGCTGGATGTTTCTTGGGATTTCTTCGTTCAGGCGTGATCCAAGATGGCGGACGTCGTTGCGCCAAAGCCTTAGTTTGATAAATGCATTGCCTCGGTCTCAAAGGATTATGGACGAATCGGCGTTGTCGACCGGCACTCGTTCGAGTGGCATCGTTCTTCTCGTATTAGAACACCCTTATTCGTACAGGTGGAGACGCTGCGTGAGAAAATAATCTCCCTGGAGCTGAGCAACGCCGAGGAAGAGATGGAGAGCATCGGCGAGACCGGAGCCAGCGACGCGGAGAGCGAAAGCGAGGCCGGGACGTTTTCCGCGGAGAATACGCCGACGGAGGAGAAATCCGAGATCCTGGGCGAGACCGCCACCTCGGAAGAGACGACGGCGTCGGTCAAGATCGCAACGAACCCGGCTGGCGTCCTCTCGAAGAAGAAGAAACGGAAGCAGGGCCGGAAGAAAGGTCGCCATTGACCGAGGCCGAGCGTCCTTTGTACAAAAAGAGAATCAGGGAACTGCTGTGCCAGACCCTGCCATGTCTCTAAAACGATTAGCAGGGAGGATTAAAAAAGATACTAGACATGTCTGCGTCAGGTTCGGGTCGGGCTACGTAAAGAAACTTGGCCGAGTGTCGCGCCAAGTACGTTTCGCACGGCGCGAATCTGACTAGTAGGGCAGAATTTCTGAATTCCGTCTTCGAGACGTGAATCGGCATTAGCGCTTATAAGTAGAGAAGTTTTGATACCAATATTCGGAGATGTAGAAGTAGCGAGCGAAATTCGGTTATTGGGTTGGTTTACCCCAAAGGAATTGGGGGGAAAGGTGTCGAGCGTATTCCTGCGATTTTGGGCAGGAATGGTATTTAATGCAAGGCAGGATGGGATGCATTAGAAGGACCAGCTGTCGATTCGAGCCGAATTAAATTCCGTATAATTAGCAGGCTTCTTTAATTATGCGGTTAACGAAATATCGAGGGATATTCTTCACTTGTTCCGTACGTCGCGACGTCGATTCGCCGATGCGCCATCTTGAGACGGTTTTATCGCGGTATCGCGTCGTACGTGATATATTTTACATTTTTATTCACGTCAACTTATAATCCTTTATTGCGCCGTAGAGTTATCATTAAACGGGCGTTAAAGTGAAGTATCATATACCCTGTCGTATTATGTGCTAGAGTTTTAACTGTGAGTTTTAACATCACACTTAAGTTAACGATTGATTTAAGTTCAGCGACCATTAGCGAGCAGCCTGGAACTGAGCACAAAAGTAAATCCAGTCTGCAATTTCGAGGAAGGCGAAATTCAATATATATATTTTTTTCCTTTTCCTTTTTTAAGCAACAGTGAAGTACTGATAGAACATGCAAGGTGCAGTAATTCATAACTATAAGGTTTACGTAGCTCTAGCAATTTAATAGGTTCTGCAAAACTGTCAGGATTGACGGTGGTAACATTTTTTTCTTTAGTTCATTATTGCCTACGGGAACAATGCAAAAGGTTGCTGCAGCTTTTTACATTTCAAGTGCATTCAGAACTATTAATTTTAACGTTATCCCGCGCCAGGCGGCAGGAAAGACTATTTTATCGCTACGTTTTCTCGAGCTGAAGCTTATTTTACTTGACGGGAATCTAATTTTCCTTCGTTTAGAGTTAAGTGCGAAACCGTGCCTTTGTATGCAAAGGTAAAAGTTGCGCAACTTGTCGACTCGCAATTGTTCAGAGGAAAAGTAAAGGTATCTACATTGAACCGTGCTAAGGAGAAGTACCCTGGATCTTGCGAGAGATTTGTCAAGGATTAATTTCCACGGTGATCGAATTTAACACTAAACCTATCGACGATTTATACCCCCATTATAAATACCATTTAAACCGGTCAATTTTACCCGCTGGTGGTAGGTTTAGTGTTAAATCGAAACGTTGCGACATTTTGGAGTTAACGAGCGATCCAGACAAAAGTAGATCTAATTTTGCTACATTATATTCGTACTGCGGGCGAAGCTTCGTTTTACCGCTTATGAAACTGAGGTGCGATCTTCTTACCTGAGGAAACAGACAAAAGTCTCTTTTTGTTTTAGTGAGGAATATACCAGTCTGTATTAGATTGCCGCAAGATTGGGGCAGCTTTCGTTGTCAGGGGAATCAATGAAGGAAAAGGCATTTACGGGACCAATAGTTTAAACTTTAATTCCGAATCTATAGGACCCATATGTCGGTCGTTGATTACGTCCTTTCCCCGTGATTGTAAATATAATTTCTCTCTCTTTTTCTTTTTAATCCATTTTATTTTCTTTTTCGTTCCCGTCCTATCTAGGACCCATCACGACGTTGCCTTTGACGCCCTACAGAAAATAAATATGCGAATGCCTAGAACTCTTTCACGGGACTTCTAGAGGAAAACGATGACGATGATGATGATGATGATGATGTCTTAAAAATTATAACGATTCAAGACGCGGTTCGATTACATAATAACCGTTCCAACGCGATTTGGAACAACATCTCGTGCTTCGTATATGTAACGTTGATCCAATGTAAAACGTTCGTTACGGAATATATCCCTCCCTAGAAACTATATATTTCACAATCGCGTGCCTCGACTGTATCAGCTTGTGCGAAGTGGATGTCGATTAGTTAAATGGGAATCGATAACAGATTTCAAAATCGATATCGCCCCATAATTCGTCGCAGGTATTTGGGAACTTGAATCGCAGCTGGTACAGCTTAGAGCGATACGATAATTTAGGAAACGAATTAAAGTATTTAATATGTTTTAGATCAAAAGAATATATATATATAGATATATATATTTATTACAAACCACTATATTTCTTTAAGCAATATTTATACGTTTTGTATCGCTAAGAGCATTTGTAAACAAATTATCGTACATCTAGATGTAAAAGAAACTTCGCCAAATATATTGTTTCTTTCCTGAATTGCTAAAAGAATTCAAACCGTTTATTTATTTTAATAAAAATTGGGCCTTATAGCATGAATAATAAACCAAATAAAACGTAAAACTAAACCTGATGAAATGAAAAAAAATAGAAACTCAATTTAAAAAAATTTTACATGGCGAGTACAGAAATACTAACGAGAAGTCATTGGACTTCTATGCACTTCTATGCACACTCTACTGATATACCAGAGATCAGAGATGAGTTGGGAGACTGCTCACGGGCAGGATAATGTGATCGCATCCTGTGCTGCCCTCTGGTTTCGTACGTTAGCTTTCACCGTTTTTTGCCCCCAAGGGCGGCGCAACGAATTTCTGATAGGAGCTCGCGCACTTGGGATGGCGGTACCATCTACAAGTCGCCGTGGCGGCTCACGTACTCGTGATGGTAATACCATGCGGCAGTTGACGGTGGTG